CTCAACATGACTTCTCCAATACATCATATTATATTTGTTATGAATTGGTGTGATATACTGTATTCTAGGCAGAAGTGTTATAAAACAAAATAATATGTCAATTTTAGTCATGTATGTCATACTTCTAAAGAGGGTATATCTTCCTGTTAGACTGAAGTATCCTTCTGTATATTATATTACGTCTCATAGCATTATAGGTGATACTCTTTTACTAGTTACATGTTGATTAAGTAGACTTTATAAAATAGTTACCAAAAGATGTGTTTATATTTTTTATTTGAGATGTAAAAGATTTATATAAATTGAACCATTATACTGTCATGGAGTTGAGTCATATGAATGAATAGGTATATGCTATGCCATTAAACAATGGATTAATAATATGCTTCTCTCTGTCATGTAGGTGTATCATACTACCAAATAGATGTCAGGCATTTTGGAATATGATTATTTATCATTTTATGTAGCATGATATTGCTAATGATAAAACATTTGGTTACTGAATATGAAACTAGAGAAATAGCACCTGTGGTAGTAAATTATGATAATGCAGAAATAGGAAATTGGAAATAGCATAGATAAAGCAAGGGAAAGCTCTACAAAAAATATTGTAGTGATTATTGGAAGTAGGGTTAAGAGAAATTTATTTAAGTACAGGGCTTTGAAATATTTGAGAGGCTAAATTATTCTAAACTCTTATCTCAGTCCCATTCACAAACTCTTTTTCTCATGTTCTGTTGTGAATAATGACTTTACATAGAGGAAAAGATCTCATAGTTTGTGACAGTTTATAAATTACTAGTCTACTCCCATAGCTAGGACATTATAGTTGATAGTGGATGGGTTTCTTTAAAATAAAAACCCATATCTAAATAAGACCATTTTTATTTGACCAATTTACCTTAAAAATGCCAATTATAAAAGTGAATTAATAAGAATTAAAACCTTTATACAATTTTTACACATAAACACATCTTACATCTAGCTGTGTTTCAGTTAATCAGTGTGAATAAAGAATATTGTACAAAGACTGTGATTTACTCCAAAAAGTTGTTTTTTCACTTTGAAATAAATGTGTAGTTTCATTTTAGCATTATTAGAAAAAAATGTAATTATATTTATTTTTATGAGCCATGTCAGTAATATATGTTATTTTTTTCAAGGATGATTTTTGTTAACATTTTCATTTCCTCATTTTGTAAACTTGCTTCTGAAGGACAAAGACGATTGCCTAATGAAGGCCGTTTGGACACACAAGGAAAGAAATTGGGTAGGTTTTTGACGTGTTTACACAAACTGAGAGTAATATAGTTTTTATACAATGGTATCATTGTTTTTCTCTTTTATACAGTAAGATTAATGTGGTTCAGTTTAGTCTGTAATGTGGATTAGTCTGTTTTATAAACATTTATAAGTGTGGAGTCAACTTTCTAAGATTTACAGGTAATTTTCCTTCAGTATGCTTATGGACTGTTATGTTGTCTTTGCAATAAGATTCAAATGTTTGTAGTTTATCCGGTAATATGTATTTATCCTTTGGGAAATGTATGGATGATTATAGAGATAAATTCATGTTTTTGATGTTTGTAGATACTGTACTGTTTATCCAGTAAATTCAGTGTGAGTGCAGATTACTCAGGCAGATAATTTCAAATGGGGATTTACAGTTTATTGCATTGAGATCTCTTCCTTATAAATAAAGAGTGTAGTATGATCTATAGACTTGATCATATGTATTGTTAATATAGATAAGTATTCCATATTGTTGGTATTGTTGTGAACTGATTTTTTGTTATGTTCTTTTTTCTTTATCATGGATATATTGTGATATCGTAACTTATCAAATCTTGCATGTTCTGTCATGTTCTTCCTTGCTACCCTGATTATTTTTTTATAAGTGTGTCTCAGAACTGTATTTCCATCTTTATAATTATATCATCTCAGGTGAATGGTACTTGCCAGAGGGCTTTTTGGATGTTGTAGACGAAGATTCAGAATATGAAGATACCATGGGTGGAACTACTTTCGATGAGTGTATCCAGGAAACTATAAGAAGTAGACTGCAAGATGGAATTCATTCAAACAGAACAAATAGTCATTTAAGAAAATGTCAGAGTTTCCCAAAATATCCAAGTTTAGATGATAATGATGATGATTATCATAGTTCATTCAGGGCACAAAAAGATTTACTAGGCATGACTGCTAACAAGATGAATCCATTATACAAAAACACTGAGTATGAAGATGACTATTTCCCAGATGAGAGATACGGTTGCAGTAATGATTTCTTAAAACTTGTTGAAGAGAAGTTGAAGAATTATGATGATGGAAGCGAATTTGAGAATTTTAAAGAACTCTGCCTAATGGCTCAAGAACATATCAAAATCAAGCAGCAGATGTACAATCAAGTACCAAGAGAACAGTTCAATAGTGAACACACAAGAAATTCAGAAGACGAAACAGAGCTTAACTACAGTTCAGAGGATTCCTCTCCTGAAGT